GTAAAGTTCATTCCGAACATGGACTGCCCTGCCTGTCTAGTTACAAAGACGTTCCAATCAAGACGTGTGTTTGAAGAGCTCTGGGCGCAGACGCACCAAAGGATGCAGAAGACGTTTGCATGCCCTGTTAACCGGTGCAAGAGCTCACGTTCTTCAATGAAAGCTTTAAAATATCATGTAGCCCATTCCCATGTCAAGTCAAATGTCATCACTTCCAATGTTGACAAACTGTGTGCTGAGGTGACCGTGGAGGTGGAAAGAAACGATAATTTCGTTGACCCTGGGGTCTACTGTTTATCATGGCAAACATGGCGACCCCGGGGAAAGAGGGCGGGCAAGAAGGGGAAAGCAGCGAAGTCCTCAACCTCTTGCTCTGCCCTGTCTGCTCACAAGCCACAGGCTGTTCGTCAAGAACCAACTGACTTAAATAAACCCACACCTATGCCAACTGTGTCGGATCTGTAGAGGGAAATTGCAGCTCTTCGAGAGCGCAACACTATCCTGCAACAGGCCCTTGCTACTCGTCCTGGGGCGCAGTGGCCATCCTGCCAAGACATCCCAACTAACAGGCCCCAGTTGGATGAATTCATCGCCAAAGGCTGGGGAGGCGATGGCAGTGCTGCAGTCAGCTGAGGGGAGGCGTTTTCAGCAACAGTTAGACCAGCGTCGAGCAGCTAATGCTTTTATTAGAAGCATGTCTCAGGGCAGTGGCAGCCAACGGGCATAGGATACACGAGGCAAGGGGTGCATACTGTGTCTCAGTGTGGAGAATTTCAATTTTGTTTCATTTTCTCGAATGTTCTTATCACATTTCTTTTCGTCTTCTCATCTTTTCTCTTTTGATTTCCTGGAGATGTGTTCTTGTGACTCCGATTCATGTGGAAAACCGACGGCACCATAACCTGGAAAGTACAAAGTAGGAACAATTCAAGGACTAATGAACTGTGTTTGCAGGACAAGAGTGTTTTTTGAAAGATGAAGAACTGTGTAGTACAAACTGATGATGGACCATGGAACCAGTTTTGGGCTACCTCATTGTGACATTTAAAATGACAGGTGATCTATATATTCATATTCACTGGATATGTGTAAGTATATGAAATGTGCATAAGAATTACCACAAGGTAAGGAATTACTAATGTATGTACATAACATGATATTATGTAACATGTATTTATCTGAAATGCATAATTGTATTGTTTGAATTGTATTGTTATCCTCACCTTGTAACTGTAAGGGCAAGCTGCAAGAGAGAGTAGAAAATAGGATTATATAGCTGTATTAATGTAAATATGTTAACTCGGGACGAGTCTTCTTTCAAAAACGGGGCTATTGTAATAGGCAGGTCGTAAACGATCGAGGACTCGAGTTATTCTTGTGAAAGTGAAAATTTGGAAGTTTATAGGAATAATAGATCTGCAGTACTCTGACCTGTCATAACGGACAAGTCGGTAAACTAGCAAAGTTTATTCACTCTTGCAGTTGCCTATCCTTGAATTGCTATTGTCATCAGTAAAATAAATAACAACAACAGCGAGTAAAGATTCACTGACTTTATTTATTTGTTAGAATTTTCTTTTAATCCGTTTTTACATATATCTTCAAAACTGACGGTTGGGATGGGACATGAAACATATCCTGACTACCACGTCCCCCAACCCCAACCCGTTACAATGTTGTACCATGCTTTAATAGTGTTATAATTGACATAGAGCTGTAATAGTGTCATAATGTGCTTTATGTTGTAATAGTGTTATAATGTTGCATCAAGCTGTAATAGTGTTATAATGTTGCATCAGGCTGTTATAGTATTAAAATGTTGCATTATGCTTGAATAGTGTCATACTGTTGCATCGAGCTGTCATAGTGTTATAATGTTGCATCGTGCTGCAATAGTGTTGTAATGTTGCATCGAGCTGTCATAGTGTTATAATGTTGCATCGTGCTGCAATAGTGTTGTAATGTTGCATCGTGCTGCAATAGTGTTATAATGTTGCATCGTGCTGCAATAGTGTTGTAATGTTGCATCGTGCTGTAATAGTGTTATAATGTTGCATCGTGCTGCAATAGTGTTGTAATGTTGCATCATGCTGTAATAGTGTTGTAATATTGCATCGTGCTGTACACAGTGTTATAATGTTGCATCGTGCTGCAATAGTGTTATAATGTTGCATCGTGCTGTAAAAGTGTTATAATGTTGCATCAGGCTGTTATAGTATTACAATGTTGCATTATGCTGTAATGGTGTCATACTGATGCATCGTGCTGTAATAGTGTTATAATGTTTAATCGTGCTGTAATAGTATTGTAACGTTGCATCGTGCTATCATAGTGTTATAAATGTTAATCGTGCTGTATTAGTATCGCACTGTTGCATCATGCTGCAATAGTGTTAGAATGCTGCATCGTGCTTTAATAGTGTTATCATGTTGGATCGTGCGGTAATAGTGTTGTAATGTCGCACCGTGCTGTTATAGTGTTGTAATATTGCCTTGTGCTGTAATAGTGTTATAATGTTGCATAGTGCTTTTATAGTGTTGTAATGTTACATAAACCTGTAATAGTGTTGTAGTGTAGCATCGTGCTGTAATAGTGTTGTGATGTTGCATCGTGCTGCAATAGTGTTGTAATGTTGCAGCGTGCTGTAGTAGTATTATAATGTTGCATTATGCTGTAATGGTGTCATACTGATGCATAGTGCTGTAATAGAGTTATAATGTTTAATCGTGCTGTAATAGTATTGTAATATTGCCTTGTGCTGTAATAGTGTTATAATGTTGCATTGTGCTTGTATAGTGTTGTAATGTTGTAATAGTATTGTAGTGTAGCATCGTGCTGCAATAGTGTTATAATGTTGCATCATGCTGTAATAGTGTTATAATGTTGCATCGTGATAGAATAGTGTTATAATGTTGGATCGTGCTGTAATTGTGTTGTAATGTTGAATCGAGCTGCAATAGTGTTGTAATGATGCATCATTCTGCAATAGTGTTTTAATATTGGATCGTGCTGTAATAGTGTTATAATGTTGCATCGTGCTGTAAGAGTTTAATAATGCTGCATCGTGATATAATAGTGTTATAATGTTGCATCGTGCTGTCATAGTGTTATAATGTTGCATCGTGATATAATAGTGTTGTAATGTTGCATCGTGCTGCAATAATGTTGTAATATTGCATCGTGCTGTAATAGTGTTATAATGTTGCATCGTTATGTAATAGTCTTGTAATGTTGCATGATGTTGTGATAGTATTATAATGGTGCGTCGTGATATAATAGAGTTGTAATGTCGGATCCTGTTGTAATAGTAGTGTGTATGTTTTTCCAGGTGTCATTCCCAGAGTTTGCTACGTTCAACGAAACACCTCATGGTGAGTTTGATATTGGGTTTTCCAAGATACGAATTTTCCAGGAATCCTAACTGTGCTATTTTTATTGTGATAAAGGTTGCACCAGGACTATGTTAACCCAGTAATGACCCGACCTATTTGAAGTATCTTGAACGTTATTTCACAGCAACATCATTACAAACTGACTACATCCCTGAATCACAGGATTGTTCTTGAGCGCTGTGTCCTACTTCCGCGTTTGAGGTTACACACTATCAAACAAACAACCGAGGGGCCTCTTATCAAAAACATGTGTTGGGACATACAACCAAAAGTCTCAACCGTTTTTGAATAACACTATAATAAGTAATGTCAAGATGCCAACGGACATCCCAAACCATGTTGCTTGTGGTCGTTGTAGAGGTTACAGGCAACAAATTAAAGAATATCTTCTGCAACATTTACGGCAAGTACGCTGATAGCGAATGCATGACATACACAGGGGCAATGGAATGAACCTCTATAAGATTTGAACCTCATAGTGAAGTAAATAAATGTCGGTCGTCATGATGTCGTAGTGAAGTAATGTCGGTTGTCATGATGTAGTGTTGTTATGTCGGTCGCCATGATGTTATAGTGGTGTTGTTACGTGTTTTGCTGTTTGACCAACATGTTTGTTAAGTCGTACTTATCAGGAATCAGACTTATACTGACATATTCAAGAGATAACAAATAGCACATCAGCGCAAGGTTGATAACGATAGCGAGCAGATTCATTTCACTGATTAACCCAGGGGTGAGTTGGTATTTGACTTACATGCCGAGGTTAAAGACTGCAAAAGTATGAAAAAATAAACGTTTATTGCATCTACACGCAGTCTCCTAAAATGTTAGATTCAAATCTTATCCTTTACAACAGCACGTAAATAAATTGCTAAGGTGTATTTAAGTGAATTTCATTACAATGGACCTCATCTTTTCTACTTCAGATTGAGGAGTGTGGAGCGTGTAGACTAGCGTTCGAAATAATCGCCGGCCCTATGGCCCATCGCCGGTTGTTATTGTATCGGGCCGGCAGTTTAAGATATCTGCAGGCCCTTGTGGCCTTCAGTAAATTATGTATTCAACAGTGTCCGTACGTGCGTCCTGATTCTTGTTAACGCGTTATTAATCATATAATGGAGGGAGTTATCGGTGCAATAAAGCAAGCTGATAACCATGGTATCCAAATCTGATAACTATGCAAATTACGTCAATCCACGAATTACTTTCTCAAAACTCCATACTTGCCATGCGAATCCTAAAACGTTGAACACTCATTGATGACGTCGTCGCGAGTTTACATTGCGTAAACATATCAAAATTGGTGATTTTGTAAGAATTGATGACAGAGGTTCTGGATTCGTTACTGCATTAATTGACTTTGGAAAACATGAAACGGAGTATTTAGTTCAAATTGAAGGTACGGATTATGAGGCACGAGAAAGAAAGGTACCAAGCAAGGATTTCGATGAATCGATCACAAGAAAGAAGACGACGAATCAATTCCGTCAGGTATCAGAAACTGATATTGATGAGGTGATTACCCGCAATGAAAATATAAACACTACTAAGAAAACCCCCTCCTGATTTTGTTGTTCTTTTTGGACAGAAAGATCCTATTTTAGGCATGAGTTATGTTTGCACTGTAGTAGCGACCATATGCCGCCGTCATAAACGACCTTCACCTTGGTGTACCGCTAAGTATTCTTTCGTGAATGCTCGATTCTCTTCATGTATAAATTCACGTATGATTTGCTTCTATTTAGAGTAATTTTAAGAATGACAGTACATGATAAAGAGATTATTAACCTCGTGTGTTTTTTAGGGAATACAAAATATGTATTATGCTTGCATAATACAATTTTTATTCCTAATATATGATATTAATGATACGGAAACACACTCGGTTAATAATCTCTATATCTCATGAACTATTGTACCCAATGTATTCAAATTTGGTGACAGTCTATATTGGGGAATTACGCAGGCACCAGATTTGTGTGACCTTGACCTTATCTTCAAGGTCAACACGACACTTTGACCACTTTTACAACTTACGTAAATGCGATATCTCATAAAACAATGCACCCAATGTCTTCAATTAAGTTGATAGCCTACACTGGGTGATTATGCAGACACCAGTCATTTTAGGCATCGTGTATGTGACCAAAAAAATAATAAGTATTAAATATGTTTTGAAATTTCATTCTTCTTCAGCGGCCCGAGACATTGCCATATTAGTGGCAAACAGTTGTTCAGCTCGAATCTTCCCCTTGGTTTTTGTTTTACGTTCGGGAATCATCCATGATCCATCATGTTTCGATAACTTACAGTGTCACTTCCTGGTATTTCAGCGCTTTGCGCATAGGAATGTCAACACCACTCATTACCAAACATAATCGTCTCTCGGAGCCATAGGCTTCGCTAATTGATTTTGAAGAAACAGTGTGAAACGGTGTACAGTGTAGTCTATTTTATGTTTATTTGTTTGACTTTAACAACATGGGCCTGCAGATTTCATTCGGGGCCTGTAGATTGTAAAGCCTGCAGATTGTAAAGCCTGCATGGGGCAGCAGTCCCTGATGGCCAACTGGCAAATTAAATAATTGCAAACGCAGGTGTAGACCAGTCCACCAGTCCTTAAACATTTCTTATTTTACAGACTCAAGGACAGGCAAAACCAAGTACCGCTGACGATGAGGAAAATGAACTGGACAAAGAAATATTCAAGGGGTTTCCTCCCATTTGTTAGAAAGCCAACAAACAAGCAACAAACTTTTCAGCTGAATGCACAGCTAAGTAATTACCTGTCACCTTAGATATTGGAATAATCCATGCAGGATGATAAAATAACGAAAAAGTAATCATTTTAATTATTTATTGATGATGTCAATGAGACATTACAAAACTTATAATCTGTATAAAATTGATAAGTAAATCATCATTGAAAAAATGTTTTAATCACATTAATAAAGTAAGAATTAGCACCTGAGTATTTTATAGTTCATCATCACAGGAAAAACATAGCAGCCCTTGATGATGGCATCAGTATATTTTATCTCAATGGATGGCAGCTACCTCAAAGACACTCTGCATTCTTGTTGGGGCCAGGGGACGGTTCAAGTTCTCCAAAGCATTTGCCTTCAGGAGATGAAATATTCTTATGCACATTGTAGCTTGTCGATCAGGCAACAGAAAATGAACAAGGGGATAGGATACAGAACCAGCCCGGACACGGATAATGTAGACTTGATTCCACATCTCTAGGCACATGGTCCATCCATGTAGAGAATCTCAGCAGCTTGCAGGGCTTGTAACTGTTCGAGGGTGGAGAAGGCGAGCAGCTTGTCTTCGTCACCGTCTCTGTCCATCTACCTTCGAGTCCTACTTCAGAACGTGAGTGGGGAGGTGCCGGTCGTGTGTTACCTCTACAGGGAACTACTAATGCTTGAGAAGGACGGAAACACCGGAATCTGGTCTTTGTTTTCTTCCTCTAACTGCTCCTTATAAATGGTATGCATCTGCGCGGTCTCGCCTCTTGCCCGTGTCTACTTCAGGATGGTTGTGCTCGGTCTGGTTCCTGAGATAGTCTCCAGACCCCGATTTCTCGAAAGAAACTTAAGTCTGAGTTTTGACTTAAGTTACAGTTTTTACTCAAATCTGAGCCAGGAAAATGCATTTCCCAGAATAAACTGAAATGGATATAAGGCTCAAACTTAATAGACAATTTGAGTTAGGTAGATAGGTTACATGAGTTGTATTGTGTTTTAGAATTGCGTCTGAGCTAGAAACCTCAGCTATTTCAAATTGTCAAACTCAGTTTGAAATTTGAGAAAAAACTTAAGTTTATTTCGAGAAATAGGGGGCCAGAAGTGGTACATCTCTCCAGTTTAGTGCTTGTCTGTCTCACTCTGTTTCTGCTGCATAGATAGCCATCCAAAAGAATGTGTTGAGTTCCCTTCTGCGATGTTACATATTCGACTTTCCATAACCCAGTCGTGCTGATATGTCACTAAGGTGCATGTGGAATTCTTTTATACCTACCTTCTAGTTGTGACAATTTACTCTATAATACTTGTATGCCAAATCATACCACCACTTACCTTCCTCGCCTTTGAGATCCCTAGTACACCCACATATAAACTGCAGCTAGTGACTATTGAGTCATCTCCATATCAAGTTTCCGAGACACCACTGTGATGGACCGAACTATCTCATATAGAAATCCCTTGTTAATAGGTTGACTACAGGCCGTGATGATTCCTCGCTTACCTGACCTAAATTAGCATTCTTCTCTTTTTTAACTCGTTTACCAGCGGCGGTTCATAAAATAAACTAATGAACGTTTTAAGCGTTGCGTCATGCGCCCACGGTTAAATATTATACACAATCAAACAAGCCACCATGACATATTCGCCATTTATGGTAAATATGTTTTGGGCATATATCCCAGAATTTCCATGGTGTCATAACAAAAGTATAATAAAAAGTTAAATGTGACTGACGGATCTTATGCCACGTTTCATCTGGTGTTTGTTAGTGATAACAGACAAGTCCTCTGTAACATTGTCACAGAGAGTCAACTGATAACAAGTGCATTACATACACAGGGGCGATGTAATCATTCTCTGTAAGGTAGCATGATAACAGAAATTAACAGTTAAGGATTAATGCCATTGTTCTGGTATATGAGTGAACGGCCGTCTCACTGAAAAGCCCTATATTATGTAAACTTCACGTTCAAACTTTCCATATGATTGGGAAATGTGTTCTGGAATACTGTGGCAAAATATATTCTACCAAACAGCCAATCAGTCTTTTACATTTATTATATTTCCTGGTACTTTGAGTCGTTGTCGCCTCGTTTACGTACACGCTCCTATGTCTTTCCAGCGTGTGAAAGAGAAGATATTCAAATTAGGACATACTTAATTCCTCTCAAGCTGGTACGAGAGTACATAAACACAACAACACATACACGATGTATACACATTTATTGTATCTATGCATGGTACACAAAATTAAAACCGTGATACGTTGAAAGGAAAACACGTTTAAAAGAAGATTTACTGAAATATTTAAGACACTGATTTGATGCGATTTGTACACTTTGACCACTTAGTCTTATCATCTAAAACTATTGATAACAATGGATAATGTTAGGAAAATTAAAGTTATCTCAGCTAATTGACGAGGACTTGCTAATAAATCTAAAAGAAACGAATTAATGAACATACATAGGAAAAAATTACACTCAGTCATATGTTTACAAGACATTCATATTGATGAATCTACTTGCAATATCATGAGAAATGAATGGGGTTTACAATCCATAATTGCACCTTTTAAATCCAATTCCAGAGGAGTGGCCATTCTTTTTAACAACGATATTGATCTCAAAATACACAGGACGTTAATAGATGAAAATGGCAATTATATAATCGCTGATATAACAGTAGAGGATAAAAGACTGACACTGACTAATCTCTATGGTCCTAATAATGATGACCATCATTTTTACATTAATCTATTTGAAAATATTCTGAATTTTGAGAATGATTCTATGGTAATTGTTCGAGACTGGAATTTGGTGATTGATTCTACAATTGATCTTGAGAATTATAAGCATGTAAACAACCCAAAATCAAGAAATACTGTATTAGAATTTATCGAATCTTATAATCTGATTGATGTCTGGAGGAATTTGAATGATAAATGTAGAAAATACACCTGGTGGAAATAAAATCCAAGACAACAAGCCAGACTTGATTTATTTATTGTATCAGAAGATATATTTGATATAACTTTGGATTCAGATATTTTGCCAGGCTATAAAAGTGACCACTCAACAATAACGTTAACTTTTTCAAACGCCCTAAGCCAGGAACGAGGACATGGGTACTGGAAGTTTAATAATTCCTTGTTGCTAAATCCTGAATATGGAATCTTAGTCAGAACTATTTTAAATGACACTGTTCAGGAATACTGAACAGAAAAAATGGATAACTTTAAAAACATTGAAAATATTAAACTTACAATTTCCAACTCCTTATTTCTAGAAACATTATAAATGAAAATCCGAGGAAAGACCATATCTTTTTCATCCTACATAAAGAAAACAAAGCTAAAACATACAGAAGAACTAGAATTAAAAATAAAAAAGGTCGAAGATACTATTCGAAAAAACTTCCAAAACATTAATGAAGAACTTTTGAATGAACTATCAAAATATAAGAAAGAAATGGAAGAAATTAAAAGTGAGGAAATGAAAGGAATACAAATCCGAAACCAAATTCTTTGGTATGAAGAAAGAAAAAAACTTTCAAAATATTTCTGCCATCTAGAAAATAGGAATTTCTAAAAAAAATCAATTAATAAGATAATAACTAATGATAAGAACGAAATCACTGACAGCAAATCAAAACGGAATGAAGTAAAACAATTTTATAAAATTCTCTATGCTTCTCAGGAACAATATAAGGAAGAAGACTGCTTAAAGGATATTAAAACTCCAACTTTAAACAAAACACTAAGAGATTATCTTGAAAGAGAAATCAGTGTGGATTAAATTAGCAATGCTGTTTACAGGATGAAGAATAATAAAAGCCCAGGGATTGATGGATTTCCTATTGATTTCTTTAAGTTTTTGTGGAAAGAATTAAAAAATTGGATCTATAGATTTATTAAAGAAGTATCAACAAAAAATGAAATGTCTTTGAATATAAAAAGGGGTGTTATCACCTGTATTCTAAAACCCCAAAAGATAGAACATTACTTAAAATTTGAGGCCAATCAATTTTACTTAATGCTATTTATAAAATTATCAGCTCCTGCATTGCACATAGATTAAAAACTACTTTAGATGAACTTATTCACTCTAACCAAACTGGTTTTATACCGGGTAGGACTATTAGTGAAAATACAAGATTGTTATATGATATAATGTTTGAAACAAAGAAAACAAAACATTCCTGGTTTGCTGATTCTGATTGACTTTGAAAAGCGTTTGACACTGTTTCAAAAGATTTTATCAACCTGGTTTTACATAAACTTGAATTTGGCCCTGAAATGATAAGATGGATAAATATATTAACCTATGAAACAACATCTTGTGTTATCCAACATGGTAATCTATCCGAGTTCTTTGCAAATGAAAGGGGATGTAGACAGGGAGACCCACTATCCCCATATCTTTTCCTTTTTGTGGCTGAGATTCTCCTTCGCATGATAAGAAATAATGAAAACATCAAAGGTATTGTCATCAATGATAATGAATATAAACTGGATCAATATGCCGACGATACTGAACTATTTCTTGATGGAACTGAAGAGAGTTTGTACTCTGCTATTGACACACTAAATAAGTTTTACAAAATGTCAGGCTTGAAAATAAATTTAAACAAATCAAAAGCAATCTGGATTGGCTCCAAAGCTAAATCTATGGATAAAATATGTAATGATCTGAAAATTGAATGGGTAATTGGTGAATTTGATGTGCTAGGTAATAAATTTACACCAGATCTTAAAGACTTATGGGTAATCAACACAAGAAAGAGACTGGAGGGAATTAATAGACTCTTAGCATCTTGGAGAAAAAGAAATTTAACACTTATTGGAAAATAACAGTAATAAAAACTCTAGCAATCTCCAGATTGGTCCATATTTTCAACTCCTTGCCCAACCCATCAGCAGAATTTATCACGTCCCTTGACAAAATGTTTTTTATATTTATTTGGAATGATAAGAATGATCAAATTAAAAGGAATGTAATTAAAAACAACTGTGAAGAAGGAGGTTTGAGAATGATTGATGCAAAAACATTTATAGACGCTTTGAAATTATCTACTTTAAGACAGTATTTCAAAAGAGGTGATAAGAATAATCCATGCAATATACCTTTTAAAGACATATTTAATTTTGGAGCAAATTCTGAAACTTACTTGAAGATTGAAAATCCTTTTTGACGTGATGTGCTAAAAGCATGGCAACTATTCCACAAAAAACATTATATTGACCCTAATAACATTAATGAAATTCTATCCCAACCATTATGGTTTAATCATAATTTTAAAAATTCATTAAACTTCATAAAGAGCTGGTTAGATAAAGGGATTATAAATATTAGGGATATTTGTGATGAAACTGGATTATTGTCAATAGAATCTTTAAAAGAATTATATGGTATCAAAGGCACTTTTTTAGATTATGAATATTTACTACATGTATTACCTGACTCTTGGAAAAATAATCTTAACCACTGTCATTTAATACCAGTCAGGGATTTAAATATTAACCAATGTCAGATATATCTAGTAAAAACATCTGAAGGCTGCAGGAATTTTTATGATAAACTTATTTCCAATGATATACACCCAAATATGTGTAATAAATGGCAGCTGCTATTTCCCGAACTTTTTGGAAAAACCTGCAAATTTGGCTGAACAATTTATACCCTCATCAACTGCTATTATCAAAACATATGGTTTGGTTTGGTACTCTACATCATAATATATTACTAAATCACATCATAATTGCAGCAAAAAGACACATTTACGTATGCAGTATTAAAAATACGCATCCAAACATAACTCTATTTATAAAAACTTTGAAAGAAATATTCTTTTTGGAAAACCATATATGCAAAAGAAATAATAAAATAGAAGATTTCAATCATAAATGGGGTCTTCTCTTCCAAGTACTTTGATGAACTGAAAATGTACCCAATTTACCTGAGGTCATATTTCTCTTTTATTGACTTATAAATGTGTATTAACATGATATTGACATAATACCTGTACATCATCCATCTGTCTGTACATCACTGTTCTACATATCATGACATTATAATCCTGGGAACCAATAAAAAAAAAAGAAAAAAGAAAAAAAGATATACTTAATTCCTCTCAAGCTGGTACGAGAGTACAAGAACACAATCAACACATACACGATGCATACACATTAATTGTATCTATGCATGGTACACAAAATTAAAACCGTGATACGTTGAAAGGAAAACACGTTTAAAACAAGATTTACTGAAATATTTAAGACACCGATTTGATGCGATTTGTACACTTTGACCACTTAGTCTTATCATCTAAGACAGTGACATCGATGATCCCTAAAGCTAAGTGCAGCTGTAGCTAACTGGTAAGTATACATATCTTTACTAAGACAGACACAGACAAACAGTTGCTGTCGGTTATGATGTTCACATATTTCAAAACTCTATAAACCTGCACGATCTATGATGACATCATAATGAGAAACAATACATGCTCCGCTCAAAGTTCAGCTCAATTAATCAATGTCCCTTTTGAAAGAATTAAAAGGCATGGTCAAATCAAATTCATAAAATAAATGCCGAATCACACATCCAACTAAACAAGCCCAAATTTCCTTCACCACCGTTTGCACAAACACAAAGAAATTGTCATGAATAGATTTGTCAAACTCTTTGCTGTGGTGGTCATATAACATTCGAAATGCTTAAACAAACCGATCAAGGAATACGTTCAGGGAAGAAGCATGTAAAGTTTCAGCTTTATCAGTCCAAAGGATTCTTGGCATACAATGTACCAATGCCTCTTTGAGAAAATTAAAGACCATGATCAAATCAGTCATAAAATAAATGCTGAATCACACAAGCAAAACAAACAGGCAGAGTAATGGTCATGAATAGATTTGTCAAACTGTTTGCTGTGGCGGTCATACAACATTCAAGCACCTTAAACAAACTGATCACGGAGTACGGATCATGTCAAGTTTCAGCTTCATTAGTCCAACGGATTCTTAAAATACAATGTACAATGTTTCTGTCAGCTATATGTTAAATAAATGTGTTAGTTGAAGTCACATCATCACATTTGACGTCGCATGGTTAATGCTCTGCTACAGTTATAAAATGGAATTTGTACTGAAAAACAATACAGAGGCTGACTTTTCGTAAAGACAAGAAAACATATATATTATTATGTAAACTAATATTTATTATAAAAATAATTTTTAAATAGGCTTGGTTGTTGCAATAAGTGATCGACAGCCGCCGTTTAAAACAGTTTGTAACAAGAGTCAGGCTGGAGCCAGATTGACAAGATGGCAACTGTGTATAACCCAGAAACAAACTGGTCAACAACAACCGAGTACAACTACAGAATGGTGAGCCTTCTTGTTGTTGCATGCCTGCTCGGTAGTATTCACCACACAGTCGTTTTGAACTTTGCCTTTTCAGTAACAAGGGGGTTACTTGGATTTGATCTGAAGTACGAAAGTATATCTGTAGATCATGGCTATGTGTCAATGACAAGTTGTATCAACCACAAGCACGAGCAACTTCTCGTGCGTAATATACTGTTAGGGGAAGCTCGGTGTAAAGCGCTATTGTGTTGTGGTGACGTAGAACAAAACCCTGGCCCAGTCACTCAAGCAGCCCTTGACAGTATGAAAGCTGACTTATTATCTGCCCTCACCGAGATGAAGAATGTTATTCAAGGCGACGTCATGCAAATAAAACAAGAAGTTTTACATATGCAGGAACACGTGAAGTCTCTTACGAATTCAATAACTGAGCTGAAGAGTGATGTTAGTAGGTTGAGTGAGGATCAGCATGTCCTGCGATTAGATATTGACTCTCTTAACGACAATATTGAAGATAAGTATGCATCCCAAAGTGATCAATTTGACCAGTTTGAAAACAGACTGGAACGACTGGAAATATTCAGCCGTAGAGACAATATTGTGTTATTTGGGATCCCTGAGACTGAACGACATGAGTCTTATAGTGACTGCAGAGACAAGGCAGTGCAGGTGTTGAACTCTGTCTGTAACGAGCCTGAGGACTGCATACAACCCAGCGACATTAAGCGTGCCCACCGGATTGGTGGTGAACAGGCCAGGAAACCTAGACCCCTTATAGTTGCATTTTGGGATACCGAAATCAAAATATGGGCTCTGAAAAAACGAAATCAACTAAAGGAAAATAAAATTGGTATAGCAAACGATCTAACCATTAAACAGAGAGAGAAACTAAAGGAGCTATCAGATACGGGAAAGAAAGGATACTACAAAAACGGTAAACTTATTGTCGTAGCCAGTGCCAGTGCCCCTAGCAGCCACGAGATCGACGGACCCCAAGAGGCTAGACGCAAAGCACCCAGATCCAGCACCATACAGGCTAGCTCTAGGAGGCGTACGAGAAAGGATCGGGAGTACAGATAGGGGTGCGGCCGGGCCCAAGTCAAAGCAACCCATACCCATGAGGATCTGTCAGAGAAATTGACTGATGCAGGTAGTGACGTTTCATTCATAACATGGAACGTATCTGGACTGTCCAATAAATTACATGACCATGACTTTATGAACTTCCTTAAAGGATATGACATTGTTCATTTAACAGAGACATGGGTTGCTGATTGTGATCTCAGTACTAAAGTGTCATCGTTTCCTTTATACAAGTGTTACCATATCCCAGGTGTACGACTGTCAGAGTCAGGCAGATTATCTGGAGGTATCCTGCTTTGTGTCAAAGAATGTTACCAGCCATATGTTAAACACATTCATAAAGGAGTAAATGCGATATTTGCCCTGTTTGACAAAAGTATGTTTTCCACTGTAAACGATAGGATGTTCATATTTGCTTACATACAACCAGAAAGATCAAACTGGTATTCTTCACGCATCTATTCCAATAATGGTATTGATATTCTATTCAATGACTATTGCGATTACTCTGCGAATGTTGCGTACAGTGATGTCATTCTGGTGGGTGATTTAAATGCGAGAACTGGCCAACAAGCAGATTTTAGCAATGACAACTATGAGTACATATCGGATGATTGCGAAGATTTGAATGACTTTATAAACGATGGATTCTCATCTACACGAATATCTTGCGATACCCATATAAACACATTTGGGAAAAGTCTTTTAGAAATGTGTCGCCTGCTTAACATCCACATTGTAAATGGAAGATATGGTACAGACAAGGGTAAAGGTGATTTTACTTTTATAAGTCAGGCAGGATGTAGTGTGATTGACTATGTGATCGGGTCAGCTACAGTACTTAATCAGATGTCAAGATTTGATATTATCTCCCGTTGTGAATCACAACATCTTCCGATATCGTTTGCTCTGTTGTCGAAACATGGCAAACAGCTAGCTATTATATAAATACACCTATTGTTAAGTACATTTGGAAACCCGAAAAGGAAGGCGAATTTGTTTCAAACCTCTTGAGCTTGTCAAGCGAGTTGGAGAATGCAACAGAAGTAATGTGTTCCGATTGCGAGCTTGGTATACAAATGTTTAGTGATGTAATAGTTAAGTCAGCGGAGTGCATGAAGCGGACAATTACATCGTCCAAACGAAACCCAGATTGGTTTAACAACACATGTCAAGGACTTAAACATCAGCGATGTCATTACCTCAACAGATTTAGAAAGCATAAGGACACGCTTTCTCGGGATTTATATATTTCGTCAAGAAATATCTACAAAACTGCGTGTAGAGATGCGAAGCGTACATTTGAAAACAGAAATATGGGTGAGCTTTCGGACTCAATTACCAATCACCAATTATTTTGGCGAAAGCTAAAGTACATTTCATGTTCGCAAATAATTGAAAATACCATCACAGTAAATTCCTGGCACGACTACTTTAAGAATCTCTTTGATTGGGACTCCAGTGTGATTCCTAGTGACTTCGTAGATGATGGTGACAGCATATTTATACCTGAAAGCCAGGCACATGACATAACTAACGATATATTCAGTGCACCCATTAGCCGGGAGGAAATCCAGTCAAGTATTAACAAACTTAAAAATAATAAAACTGCTGGGGAAGACCTCGTAATTTGCGAGTTCTTTAAGTCGTCTTGTCATATCATCATACCTTACCTCGAAATCATATTTAACACATTGTTTGATAATGGATCATTCCTATAAAATGGGCAAAAGCAATAATTGTGCCAATACATAAAAAGGCGATATTAACAATCCGGGAAAATTATCGCGCCATTTCCTTTTAAGTATTTTTGGTAAAATATATACAAACATTTTAAATAACCGCCTGGTATTCTGGTCAGACAGTTTGGATATGATCAATGAAGAACAAGCAGGTTTTAGAGCAGGCTATACTACAACAGATAATATATTTGTTTTCCAATCAATAATTTGTAAATATGTCTCTAAGAAAGGTGGCAAACTGTATGCATGTTTTGTAGATTTTTCAAGGCATTTGATTCAGTACAGAGACACAAATTATGGTATGTCTTTAATAAACACGGTCTCCATTCAAAAATGGATAAAACACTAAAAAGTATTTATGAAAATGTTAAAGCCTGTGTCCGCATAAACAAGAATGTTCTTACAGACGTATTTGACTGTCCTGTTGGTGTTAGGCAAGGTTGTGTCCTAAGCCCTTTCCTATTTTCGTTTTTTATCAACGATCTAGTGTCTGAGATTAACCATTTATGTTCCACTGGCGTCCAATTATATCCAGATCTTATTGAAATATTTATGCTGATGTTTGCCGATGATGTGGTGTTTTTCTCAGAGTCAGTGATTGGTCTACAGAGGCAAATTAATGCTTTAGAAACCTACTGTAATAAATGGTCCTTAAATGTTAACCTTGATAAAACTAAAATTATGATTTTTAAAAAAGGACCTAAACTATCAAAATCAGAAAAATGGACATATAAATCAGCTATGCTGGAAGTCGTTACATCGTACCAGTACCTTGGAGTATCATTTAATAGAACTCTAAATTGGTCCCTCTCTGCCAAACACATTTCACTTAAGGCAAAGAAAGCTTTAGTGTATTACAAAATGCCTTTGTAGCTTTAAAGACTTGTCATATGATGTCTATTTCAAAATATTCGACTGTAAGATACTACCCATATTATTGTATGGGTCAGAATTATGGGGCTTTCACAAACATGATTGTCTGGAAAGGGTATTGCTTTTATGCATGTAAACGATTCCTTGGTGTGCGAATGTCTACACCAAATACAATTGTCCTTGGAGAAACTGGTAGATATCCTATTCATGTGTACACGCTAAAACGCTGTATTGCTCACTGGCTTAAGCTCCTCTCCATGCCCTGTTCACGCTACCCATTTAAAGCTTACAAAATGTTATGTAATCTAGATTTAAACGCAAGCGCCGAGCGTAATAGGTTTAATTGGGCTACGCATGTAAAACAGTTTTATTTAGATTTGGACTAGGTTATGCGTGGATATGGCAGGGAGTTGGAAATAAGCACCAATTCTTAAATTTACTTGTAAGAAGAAGCAAAGATTGCTTTATACAGGAGTGGCATGCAAACTCCAAAATAGTCCCTGTACATTTACTTATTCCCTATTAAAAGAAGACTTCTTGTGTGAACCATATGTACGTTGTATCAATATCAAGAAAGTAAGACAAGCCTTTTATCACAGTTTCGTTCTGTTTATTATGATTTAAGTTGTTATAAGGGAAAATTTCACAAGAAATCTACTGTGTGCAGATATTGTAAAATGAATGTCTTGGAAGATGAATACCATGTACTGCTAATCTGTGACTATTATAGAAACATTAGAAGCAAATATATACCCAGTTACTTTACGAAACAACCGTCAAAACACAAATTTATCAAACTGTTGTCAACTTCTAATCGTATATTGATTGAAAATATTGCTTTGTTCATATACCATGCGATATTGAAGAGAAACCCACTCTGCTTTTGAACTTTGTATATACCTGTACTATGGGCCTGTGGCCTTCAGTTCTGAATAAAGATTGATTGAACAAGAGTCATAAGTCTGTCCCGGAATCATTCGTACCCCACTTGTGTTACTCTGGGACAAACCATTCATGATCCAACTCGTGTTACCCCAGGACAATCGTGCCCCTCTGGAAGGACCTCAGAACTACTTCAAACAAGAACTCTATTTCTGTTTAACTCTAACAGAAATCTCCAACAGCAATTTCCCACAGTGCATGGCCCTAGCCTTATCAAAATCGAATTAGGTAACACAATGCTTTTCGGCTATGTTCTTTGTAATAGCAGAATATTTGAAAATTGACAGTTACATTATGTCATAACCAATTTAAGTGCTGAAGAATATTTTCATCGAATTACCTCACTCCTTAAGAGAATTTGATTGGTTCCTCGTATTTTTGCACATAATATTTATCGATAGGGTACGAGTTTCTTGGAGGTTACGGACAGGTGTTTGTGGGGACAAATGTCTATGAATACAAACGGCATTTTGATAACAATCAGGTTGGTATATATTTAGAACATGTTGGAGCTTACATGTTACTGCTGCAAGACATAGAATAAGAGTTATCGTTCTTGTTCAACAGCGTTCACATATTTCATACTATATGACGGAATATTTTGTGAGGGTCAATATGGAATCCTTCGAACAGCTGAATGAATAGGATCAAGACTATCGACATTAATTTAGGCTTTCCCGGAATTGGGTACGAGTTGGTGTGGAATGTAATAGAATCCAGGAAAACACTTTGTATCCGGTACATCCGTAAGATCAATCCACAGTTTCCATTATCGATGTATTCTGTGTCACTCGCACACATTTTATGGTGGAAATTGAACACATCAGTAGTCCGACTGTTCATTTCTTAGCCACAAGGCAGCCAACAACACGAGCATCCCAGTGACTACAGCCAGTACTTTAAACAGACTGTTAACCTGAAGGAAAGAAAAACGGGCTGATGTTTGATTTGTTTTCTATATTCATAATGTGCTTCCAAAATCCCAGACAACGCTAGTTTAATCCTACGGTTTTACTGTAAGAAATATCACATGTTTTTGAACGTGCTGGCTGTTCTGAAAGGTAATGTGTTACGACCTCAAGGGTAATCGTTGGCGTCTCATCTTAATGAAATGTGTGTGAGTGAGTTGCGTTTTGCACCGATTTCTGCAGTATTCCAGCAATATCAGGCCTGAGGATACCAGAACCGGGGTACACAAAGTGTAGCCA